TAATATGTACAGACACAAACAAAACTATCATAAACACATAAAGTGATCACTATATGTACAGACACAAACAGTAACAACATAAACACATACAGTGATCACAATATGTAGAGACACAAACAGTAACAACATAAGCATACACAGTGATCACAATATGTACAGACACAAATAGTTACAACATTAACACATACAGTGATCACAATNAAAAACATAAACACATACAGTGATCATTATATGTACAGACACAACAGTAACAACATAAACACTTACAGTGATCACAATATGTACAAACACGAACAGTAACAACATAAACACTTACAGTGATTATAAAATGCGCAGACACAAACAGTGACAACATAAACACTCACAGTGATTATTATATATACAAACACAAACATTAACAACATAAACAAACACAGAGATCATAATATGTACAGACACAAACACTAACAACATAAGCACATACAGTGATCATAATATCTACAGACAGAAACAGTAACAACATTAACAAATACAGTGATCATAATTTGTACAGACACAAACAGTAATAACATAAACACATACAGTGATCACAATATGTACAAAGATGGACAGTAATAACATAAACACACATAGTGATTATAAAACGTACAGACACAAACAGTAACAACATAAACACACATAGTGATCACAAAATATACAGATACAAACAGTAACAACATATAAGCATACACAGTGATCATAATATGTACAGACACAAACAGTAACAACATAAACACATACAGTGATTATAAAATGTACAGACACAAACAGTAACAACATAAACACACATAGTGATCACAAAATGTACAGATACAAACAGTAACAACATATAAGCATACACAGTGATCATAAAATGTACAGACACAAACAGTAACAACATAAACACATACAGTGATCAGAATATGTACAGACACAAACAGTAATAACATAAACACATACAGTGATAACGATATGTACAGAAACAAACATTAACAACACAAACAGTAACAACATAAACACATACAGTGATCAGAATATGTACAGACACAAACAGTAATAACATAAACACATACAGTGATAACGATATGTACAGACACAAACATTAACAACATAAGCATACACAGTGATCATAATATGTACAGACACAAACAGTAACAACATAAACACATACAGTGATCATGATATGTACAGACACAACAGTAACAACATAAACACATACAGTGATCACAATATGTACAAACACAAACAGAAACAACATAACCACTCACAGTGATCATAATATGTACAAACAGTTACAACATAAGCAAACATAGTGATCATAATATGTACAGACACAAACAGTTATAACATAAATAAAAACAGTTATCATAATATGTGCAGACACAAACAGTAACAACATCAGCATACACCTGAGGAGGACACCCCCTCCGACCCCCTCCCCCCTCGGGGGCTTCGTCCCCCTCGTGTCCACTTACTGCTCCCCCTTGGCATTTTGCTCAGGCTACGGCCCTGCATAGTGATTATAAAATGTACAGACACAAACAGTAACAAACATAACCACTCACAGTGATCATAATATGTACAAGCAGTTACAACATAAGCAAAGATAGTGATCATAATATGTACAGACACTAACAGTAATAACATAAACACATATAGTGATAACAATATGTACAGATCCAAACAGTAATAACATAAACACATACAGGGATAATGATATGTACAGACACAAACATTAACAACATAACCACACATAGTGTTCACAAAATGTACTGATACAAACAGTAACAACATAAGCATACACAGTGATCATAATATGCACAGACACAGACAGTAACAACATAAACACATACAGTGATCATGATATGTACAGACACAACAGTAACAACATAAACACATACAGTGATCACAATATGTACAAACACGAACAGTAACAACATAAACACACACAGTGATTATAAAATGTGCAAACACAAACAGTAACAACATAAACACTCACAGTGATCATTATATATACAAACACAAACATTAACTACATAAACAAACATAGTGATCATAATATGTACAGACACAAACACTAACAACATAAGCACATACATTGATCACAATATATACAGAAACAAACATTAACAACATAAACAAACACAGTGATTATAATATGTACAGACACAAACAGTAACAACATGAACACATACAGTGATCACAATATGTACAGACAAAACATTAACAACATAAACAAACACAGTGATCATAATATGTACAGACACAAACAGTAACAACATGAACACATACAGTGATCACAATATGTACAGACACAAACATTAACAACATAAACAAACACAGTGATCATAATATGTACAGACACAAACAGTAACAACATACACACTCACAGTGATCATAATATGTACAAACAGTTACAACATAAACAAACACAGTATAATATTACAGACACAAAAGGTAATAACATAAACACAAACAGTGACACAAACAGTAATAACATAAACACATACATTGATAATGATATGTACAGACACAAACAATAACAACATAAGCACATGCAGTGATCACAATATATACAGACACAAACAGTAACAACATAAACACATACAGTGATCACAATATATACAGACATAAACATAAACAACATAAACAAACACAGCGAAATTAATATGTACAGACACAAAAGGTAATAACATAAACACAAACAGTGACACAAACAGTAATAACATAAACAAACACAGTGATTATAATATGTACAGACACAAAAGGTAATAACATAAACACAAACAGTGACACAAACAGTTATAACATAAGCACATACAGTGATCACAATATGTACAGACACAAACATTAACAACATAATCAAACACAGTGATCATAATATGTACAGACACAAACAGTAATAACATAAGCAAACACAATGATCATAATATGTACAGACACAAACAGTAACAACATAAACATACGCAGTGATCATGATAAATACAAGTATGCACATTGATAACACAAACAGGTACAGTACAAAAGAATACAAACAAATACAGTCACAAAATAGTGAACAGAATACATTAGAAACACATACAGTGATAATATATGCAAACACATATGGGGAAACCATAGACAGTCTAGGTGGTCAGAATATAATATGAATCAATAGTGACAACAAAGAATGTACATAAAAAAACAAGAACAGACACATATGTTTACTGTGACAATACAGTTTGTGTGATAACAATATATGCAAATATATACAATGACATCACAGACATACATATTGATCACATACAGTAATAACACAAACATACACAGTGATCAATGATTAAAATGTATAGTGATAACTCAGATGTGCACAGTAATCAAAATGAGCAAAAATATATAATAGTGAAAATACAGCCATACACATATATGAACACATGCAGCGACAATATAGATATACACAGTGATCAGAATACATATGAACACATACAGTGAAAATAAACATCACCACAGAGATCAGAATATATTATAAAGGCACACACAGTGATAACACAGATTTAACACGTCAATTAGAGTACATATAAACCCAAATTTTACTAGTGACAACAAATGCTGTACACAGCAGCAATGAGAATATATTGGGGTATGAAAATGTGTACAGTGACAACAAAGACTTAAACAATGATCACAATATATACAAAAAAACACATTAAGAATATGAACATACACAGTGATCAAAATAAATACAAACATGTACAGTGACAACACAAACATGCACAGTATTCAAATGAATACAAAAATAATACAGTCACAATGCAAACATACACAGTAATCAGAATAAATACAAACATAGACATAAAAGGTGGTAGGACTATAAAATTAATTAGACACATACAGTGTACACTGACAACACAGAATGTACACATCAGTCAGAAACATACACAGTGATCAGAAGAAATACAAACATGTAGAGTTACAAATGTATAGAAACAACAACACGAACAAACACAGTGATGGGAAAACATTATACAGACACAAAGAAATAACACATATTGAACACTTCAATCATAATACATATAAACACAAAAAATATCAGTGACAACCAAAACTGCGCATATATTTACAGTGACAACTTAGTCAAAAACAGTGATATATGCAGGCACATACAGTAATAACATAAAAATACAGTGTAATAATAAATACTAACATGTACAATAATTAAAATGGGTAGAAAGATATACAGTGACAACATAAATATGCGCAGTGATCAAAATGAATAGAAAACAAGGCAGCAAAGCTGAAAAACAGAAAATAAATATGCAGAAAATAAGGCATTTTGTCAATTTTTTGATGCAATAATAAATAATTATGGAATAACAGTACAGTCGATCAACACTGAATTTTAATCATGCACAACAGGTAACATGGTCAATATAATTACAGTTTCAGGACCATGAGAGTTCAAATTCACATAACGAAAATCATGTACTATAGGTAACATGGACATTGAAAAGCTAGCATGTGATTCAGTTTCATGGACTGTAAAAGCCACATGTACTTGATCAAAAACAGAACATTTCTCAACTGGGTTACAAATGTAAGTCTGATATTGTGATAAATTTGAACCCCCCCCCCCCAACAACTGTTGTTCATTTTCATAATTCTTTATTTTATGCACATTTTGTTTCAGTAGGTGATACAAACTAGTTATAAACTGTATGACTACTTGACGACTTAAGCAGTATTTGAGACTGACTAATTGCCGCAATTGTGTCCAGATAATACATGTAGATCATGAAGTGGTTGATAAGCCCATCTTCAGATTCCACCAACTGCATAGGTAATCAACGAACCTCTTCTTTATAGTATACAAGTTTATCGCTCGTAAATAGGGCAATAAAGCAATAAAAGCGCCCTGAATTACACTGCAGCCCCTTCAACTTTATTATCGTAAAACTTCATAACTTAGCCTCGTGAGAAGTATGTGATAGGCCTCTGTATTATAACCTGTACTATTAAGTGTGTACACAAATGGAAGCTCAAACTACGCTTTTCTTTTTCGTCCTGGTCTCCATTTTCTGGTTTCACCAGGGCTGTCTCCGTGTGGGCCTTATTACAAATTGGCAAAGCATTCCGTATGTTGTCAGGGACCACGGCAGCAATTCACGCATGTCATTCCCAGATCAGTCAGAACGTATTCGTACTGCGACAGTCAACCAGACCAAGGAATCGCACGCTACCCTCAGAATTCGTACCGATTCACCTTTCAACACATCTGGGCACTTACATGGAGACCATACGCTCGATTATTGGACGGAAAGTGAAAAAAACCCAAAGATTGGGAACAAAACATTTTTTGTTATTTGGAACGTCCCTTCTTTAAAGTGCGTACAATATGGAATAGACTTGAATCTATCACATTATAATATAACATCAAACAGCAATATGGAATGGAATGGAAATATTATAAATATATTCTATGAGGACGAACTTGGTTATTATCCAAATATATTGCAAAACCGATCAAGGGTCCATGGCGGCTTACCGCAGGTAGTATTACATATAAATTTGCCCCCCTATATCAAAAATGTATTTAACATATCAACTCTTTCATCTCTTCACGGGGTTGAACTCTCACATTGAAAAAAATGCTGAGTTGATAGATATCTCTGAAATTATGTCTCTTCTACACGCAATTTACACTTTAAGGATATTGTACAACCCTTTATTATCATCCAGATACCGAAAATGAGGTTTTTCCTGCATCTAATTATTCAATAATACATCTATCTTTGCGCTTTTTTCGTTGCAATGTATAAGCATAGGCAACTCAAAGTTTTAATCGACAATCGGACACCTTGCTATTTTGAGGCAAGATACACAACTGTAGCAATCGGTATATATGGGGCATAACTTTGTTATCCAAACGAATGTATGTAAGGCAGTTAATAAGTTTTGGGCGAAGGGTGACAATACCCGCAAGAAAACGCAGTACTTAGATACTCCAGCGCAGTAGACTACTGCAATCATACTGCAAACCGCAGTAGACTACTGCAATCATACTGCAAACATGCTTCAAATCTGCTTCGATTTGGGAGCTAATTAGCATATTTGAAACATGCTTCTATCATGCTGCTAATCTACTGCATTAATGCTCCTCTTTGTACAACCCTATGTACTTTTTGGAGTAGAATTGCAGTAGGCTATGCTGCATTTCTACTGCAAATATGCTCCACACCACTGCTTTTTTGCTACTTTGATACTACTGCATTTTCGTGCAGGTATCCTTAAGTTATTTTAATAATTAAAATACTAACAAAAAAGGACTGCGCTAAAGGAGTATTACGAGAAGCACGTTTTTTTTACTGACACATTTTTTCCTCAACGTCAAGTACATTTCACTATGCTCACGAAAATGTTTTAAGTATTCCACGCATAGCTTACGTTCTAGGGGACTCTTGCTGAATGCAGTCAGATTAACTGAATGGCACACTTCGAGCAGCTACATGTACATGTAGTTGGTGTTTGGGTGTGGTCGGCTCATGCCTTGGTTAAAATCTTTCTTATCAAAATAACACCATCCAAGACTGGGCCTCTAACGACGTTTGTTTTGACAGCGCACCTTGCTAAAAACCTTCAGATAGCTTCGGTACGCTAGGGCTACTCCGTCTTCTAAAGGTGCCTTCCTACATGACTGGTCGTGTACACATGTACATAGTTGTATTAAGTATGTCTTTCACATCACTTCTGAGCGTTGAAATCTCACAACAAGGTGTCTGAAAGTATGGGGGTACATACATCAGAACATGCACTGAGACCAATACATATGTTTTAGTTACATAGCATTGAGTTTAGGATAGGAAATCCAATGAGAAATAAAAAAATCTATTTTCAGCTTGTTGATATCGAGAAACACTTAAAAAAGTGCATAGCTGACATTAAAGTATCTATCCCAAGTCCAGATTTCAGCGGGCTTGCTGTCATAGATTGGGAGTCGTGGGTTCCCACTTGGGAGAGATTATGGGATACGAGATTAATCTATAAGAATGCATCTTTAGATCTGGTACGAAGCAGACATCCCGACTGGAATGAAACCACAGTAGAATCAGAGGCGAATAGAGAGTGGCAATCTGCTGCAAAGTGGGTTTTCTTTTTTCTTTTCTTTTTATATTAAAAATTTTAATAAACACTCCTATTCTTTGAAGAAACAAAGCCAGTAATGTCAAATTTGAATCAAATTTTATCTATTTGACAATTTTATAAAATGTGAACGATAAAGTTTTTATACTTGGAAGGAGATTAATGTTAAGCACTCTGCAAGTGGCTCTTGCCGAGAGACCCAAGGCGCGTTGGGGTTTTTACCTGTACCCAGACTGTTACAATTACAATGGTCCACAGATACACGACTGCACAGATATTGTGAAAGAAAGAAATAACGAGTACGTACCATAGATACAGCCTTCTTAGCTACCTCCAGATATTTATCCTGTCTCTTTCTCCCATTGTCTCCCTCTTTCTGCATAATTTTGTCGTTTTCAAATAATAAGCAGGCTTTTATACATGTGTTGAGAGACTCACCAAAATTTCTACATTATTGTGTCGAAACAATTTATGCAGTGCAGTATACTAATGCGTGAAAACAGAATTGCTGAAACCAGCAGTACGTAAACAGTATCTTAATAAACATTGTCATTATTCAATGTAATTAATCTTATTGTGAAATTCACTTTTAAAACCATCCATGCGCTTTCAACAAATTATAAGTAAAACTTATTTTTGTGAACATTCAGGTATAACAATTTACTTACGAACTGTTAATTTTTAACAGGCTTGAATGGCTTTTCAAGGAAAGCACAGTCTTACTCCCATCAGCTTATCTTGACTCAAAATACGATATTAAATGGAAGACGGCATTTGTACGCCACAAGAAACAAGAGGCACTACGCATACGACAGTACGTCGGCTTAAGTCCAAGGGCCATGCCGGTATTTCTGTACAGTAGATTCAGGCACCCTGACACACTCACGTGGTACTCTTTGGTAAGATATTGCAATCAATGTATCTTTATTGCAAAAAATAAATCGCTTAACATAACATTCTCAGACAAAAATTTTAGCAAGTTCTTCAACAATAATTTGAAAATATGTTTAACAGTGTCGTTCATTTATATAGTATATGTCCATGCGGGATTCTATTTGTTTTTAGATAGAATTGAATGCCACTATTGCTCAGTCGAAATCGCTAGGCACAGATGGGATCGTGCTGTGGGACGACCATCTGGTAACGGACACCCGGGAACATTGCTCATTACTCCAGCGCTATGTGACCACCACACTGGGGCCTTTGGTTCAGAAGATAGTGAACAACAGCTAAGGCATCATAACTATAATCTATATAATATCTATACGAAATTAACGATTAACTCTTAGCCACCCTATGCGCAGAAATGGAACAGGGGGAGGATATTCGCAAAATAGAGGCCTTTATAACGAAAGAATAAGGGGGAAAGCATTAAATTCTCTGAGCGTATATATGTACTAGACGATACAATTGTCTTCAATGCAATTTGCACAATAGAGAAATTTAATGTAGACTATCCATATTCTTTGTAAGACCAAAACTAGTCCGGACGCTACTTTCATGAACGGAACACAAGGAAAATTAGGACAACTGACATACTTAAGACAATTTGAATTTTTGTAATTAGCTCATGAAGACTAAAACGGAATAAAAACTCAGGTCAAATATATTCAGAACGATATATACACAAAATTTGTGTTATGAAAATTAATAGATGACTTACTTCAATGACGTGAATTCCCAAAAGAAATGTATCGTATGCAGGGACGTGTAGTAGTTAGATGTACTACAGTAGTACATGATGATACTTTTCATATTCACTGTAAATGAAATTCACACAAGTTGATGAAGACAAATGCTATGTTGTGAACAAGCATATAGCTGCCACTGAAGTATAACGTATGAAAATGTATAGCAATTTGTTCTATTAAGAAAAATATTATCATCAACTGATTCTAATTTTTTTTCTGAACGCATTTAGTAGATACCCACTGAATAAATACCGACAGTTCACGAGCAAGACCTAATATTGATTTGAGTATGTAAGTCAGAGAAATTTCATCAGCTGTGTTAAGTTATAAGAATGATGTGATTTTTTCTTCAGTCAACAGCTAATACTGAGTTAGGTTTTACCTCCAATATTACGATGTCTATCAGGACATCTTCTTCATTCCCTGAAGAAGATGTCTTGATAGACATCGAAATATTAGCTGTTGACTGAAGAAAAAATCACATCATTGATTTGAGTATATTTTCTAATTCTCTGATTTAGTCACTTCTTCATTCGGACTCATTGAAAATAAGTGTATGTAGTACAAACATGTCGAGTTAAGATAAAGTTTTGACACTTATGAGAAGTGATAAGAAATAATAAGCAAGTGAGCTCCCTCTATCGATCATTGCTGTCTCCACAAGCACAATGTGAAGAAATTTGTGGACCCCGTCACAATCATGTTGTGAAAGAGCCCTAAGAGCAAATATTGCAGCCCAAGTCTGTTATAACTAAATTTCGTTCGTTGCAGTATTTTATCGTATTATCAATTTTGAAAATTAATATGTACACGCAATTCTACTAATTTTACAATCTTTTTTGACAAACCGGTGAATTGTTTTGCCTTCACTTTTTTATTTCTATTCTATGCAACTCGCCCTCGCGCAGCTATAAATATGGTGTCTGGCACTCATTGATCATAGTAAGAATTCCAGACTTGTTACAGGTCACATATTATATACCCTCAGCTCCACTTGAATATTAAACTTGCTCCTAGACTTGATTACTTGCATCTACAATCCAAGGGTTGACGGTTACTTTCTTTACTCTGTTTAGTTTGATGTGTAATAATATATGTACAAATTTAGTTATTTGTCGTACCCATAGTTCGCGGTTATTTAAATTGTCCAAACCCTATGCTAGTTACTATATTCTTCTTCTCTTCCACATGTAAAAATCTAGATACAACATTTTGCAAAATGTGCTTTACTTATTTATTTATAATATATTAATATACAGACTTGACATTTAAGATGAAATATAATTTCCTAGCAAAAAAAAAAGAGCACCCCAAGTGCAATCATGTACATTGCAACAAGGGTCGCACAGTTTTTATTTTGCTATTTAAAATATAACAACTAAACAACCGATCATCTTGTAAACTGGGAATGTGAGCAATAGAACACTGACCTACCTAGCGTAATTATCTAAATACTCCAACACCATTTTTATGTACAGACACAGATGTGTCTGTACATATAGCCGTCATCTGCGTCTGTCGTCGCCGTCGTTGCCGTCGTCGCCGTGCACTTTTACCGATAACACGATAAGTGGAAAACTGTTTTTTCTTTTGGCTTGAAACTTACAGAACTGATGAATATTCATAATACGCAGGTCAAGTTCGAAAATCAGCATGATCGGGTCACTTTTAGGGAATTTATGCTGTTTTTTCACTTTTTTCAGCATGTATGCAGCACCGATAACACGATAAGTGGAAAACCATTTTACCTTTTGACTTGAAACTTACAGAACTGATGAATATTCATAATACGCAGGTCAAGTTCGAAAATCAGCATGATCGGGTCACTTTTAGGGAATTTATGCTGTTTTT